GTCGCCCTGGAGCGCCAATTAATTTTTATTGTTGTTTTTATTTTATTTTTATCATTGTTTCATTAATAAAAAAATCATTACGTTTATATTTCCTTTCGAAGATTGAACCAAATATAATAAAATTATTGCAACACACCAAATAATTACCAAATAAAAAAAATATCCACAGCCATACCGTCATGTCTAGTACATGCGGTCTCAGTCTATATCTATCGCCATAACGCGGCACTTCTACGGTGTTGACGAGACACCGGTGTTGCCTTATGCTTCAGAGGATATCAAATTCTTTCAATTCATTATTTACCCTCAGAGTAATACAATCGAGTAAGCCCTAAAGTCATCCCAACCATCACAGAAGGAACACAGGATGAAAAATCTAGATTTTTTTTTCGAACTCCGCAGGCTCTATTCGGACTACTTTTTGAAGATAATTGTTATTTGAGTTTTTGAGACATTCGGTTTCTCATACTCTAGATTTTATGATTTATTGAATCTATTATTTTTGTGTTTCACTTCCTGGAATTTCAAGTGCACTAATTCTTTTGACGCATCGGAAATATAACTCATTTCATATATTTTTGAATTTGTTTCAAGAAATCATTCATGTATGAATCATGGTTACTGATGTATTTAAATTCTGGTCAATCTCCAACGCAAGTATAGGATTCAATTTCTCTATGTAATTTGCTATAAAAAATCTATATTTCAAACTTACTGTTACGATATATTTCAAAGGAAGGATCCTCAATACTCAAAAAGTGATATATTCAACAGAATATATTCCTTCAGCGTTTATTTGCTTCAGACACGTGATTTACTCAAAATGTAATGTGAAAATGTTCAAATCATATAATTATGTAAATATTATGTGCGTATGAATTAATAATTATAATATCATTACATGAGTCACATTATTATTTTCAAATGACACATGTTAACGTCGTGAGTCATGAAGCTGTTACGAAAACGAAAAACAAAAAGTATTGATAACGGCACATTGAATTAAGAATATATAATTTCTTTTATAGCCTTTCAAAAACAAGCTATTTCCTGCAATTTGATTAATTAACATTATCAAGTTTCATGTTGTGTTATTTATCGACTGTCAAATTCCAAATTCAAATCATTATAAATTTTTCAAAAAGCGTTTCTGATCTTCTCCGTTTCATCAACAATCATTGTCTTGGACGCGTCAGTTTTGAAATTATGGTTTACTATGTTTGAAACAGATTCCGCAAATTGTTACACAAACACAATGAAATGGTAATGGAGAGAATAACATGCAGGCTGGTCTATTTGAAATGAATGTTGGCCAAGGATTGATTTCAATTCACCCTGGTCAACTCCTTAAATTCGGTATTGTTATCATGACCAGTTTCTGAAAAATCACGTTTGGAATTGAGTCATGTATACAATACATTGTAATGGAAAAATTGAAGAATTTTCTTGGTGCAAAGCACTCGTGAAACATTTTTTTTTCGCATGTGTGAAATTTTATGTCACTTTTGAATTGTAATGAATTGTTTCAGTTAACAGCGGTTAACCATTTCCTGGACTTGTCAATTGTATATGGTAACAACGATCTAATCAACCAACAAGTAAGGCAGTTTCAAGGAGGTCGCCTCAGAGTTGATATAAGAGGAGGAAAGCAATGGCCACCTAGATCTTTGAATGCATCTGGCATATGTACTATTCAAAATCCCCGAGAGGCTTGTTATCTGGCAGGTAAAATCTCTAATAACGTTCTAGGTCAAAAAAAACTTATATGAAGTATTTTCGCATATCATAAAGCATGTTATCAATTGTAGGGTTTTACATTGTCTAGTTATTGTAAAGATTATTTTCTTAAAACCGATAAAATAATGAAAATATTGAAGGCTAGGCCACAAAAACAAAGAATTACAGCAATAAAATGCTTTTTCTCGATAGCGATAAATCTGACAGCCATAAAATTAAAATAGTGGAAGAATAGCGCTTTGCTAAACTCCGCCACCCAAAATAAAGATCATTTATTATTATTACTGTGTAGGTATCATTATTCCTGAATTTAAATTAAACCAATGGAATGAAATATCCGAAAATATGATTGTGGCTGAATATCAAATCTAGGACAACTCAAATGAACATTTAAATCAAATTAAACTCACCAATACTATGACTGGAAAATTCTGCCAGAAGTCCATTAATCTTTCTGCCATCCAGGTATTCAATCTTTGTTTGGCAAAGCCTAAAGCGATCCCAATGACATGTTCTGGTTCAATGAAGCTACTGGCATCACCCTCCTTTGCAAGGGAGTTGGCAGCCTCATTGCCTTTCACGCCAGCATGGCCAGGAATCCAGACCAAAGATAATCTGTTAAGTCTCCATATTGGAGATAGTTGTTTTGGGCAATTTGCTACCAATTAAGATGTTGCTCGATAGGAGCCAAGATCTTCTAACGCCGTTTGACTGTCCGAAAATATTTTTATTATTTTTACTTTTGTATGAGGTTGTATTCTTCCAATCTCTCCGCACACGATAGCATAAATTTCCGCTTAAAATACAGTCGCATAGTTTCCTAGGCAGGTTGATATGTCCGTCCTGGGTTTGCGACTAAAAACACCTGCACTGGAACCGGAAGGTGTTTTTGATCCATGTGTGAACCAACTATCTGCTCTTAATATTTCCTTCTTCCGGAGGATCCAGTCCTCTCTACTCGGGAACAGTACTTTATAAGGCAGTTCGTAGTTGACAGTTGGAGGCATGAAGTCAGAGGTCATTTCCAGAATGCTGTGATTTTCAGTGTCAAACAACAGTCTATTGCACTCTGCATTAAATTGATTTGTGCAATTAGCAATGTGCACAAGTCTATATGCAGTCCACCTAGCCCCTCTCTCCAGAAAAATATGGAGAGGAAGTAGATCTAGAAGGATCTCCATGGCCGCTGACGGTGTGGTACTGATGGAACCACTGATGGCCAGACAAGCCTGTCTCTGTATGCTGAATAGTAGTAATTTTAGTAGCAATTTCAGTTTGAAAAAAATATGCGGCTCTGAGGCCTCATGTCAAGGTACGATGAATTCTAACAATGATTTGCTATCGTTGGAAAATACGAGTTAATATTTCATGTACTCTGTTCATATATTCAAATTTTGTGTCTTCATTGACTGTTCTTTCAAACAAATGTTCTTGTTGAAATTTCCCGTTATTCCGGAAACACAATTCAATCGATTTTATAATTGATATTTTTTTATCATATCGATGCATTCAGATGAGAATATTTCAGGAAATAATCTTCACGAATAACCTTCTATCAAAAAAATTTCTCAGATAAATGTCCATTCTGTTAAATCCAAACTTTGTTATTTTTGAACAATATAAATCCAGAAACATGTGATAGATAAAACCACTCGTCCCACGAACTCGTGGTTTCATCAAGTTGGTTGCTCTTATTCCCCATACATCGGCTCATCCTCGTGCTACCACAGGACGAAATAATCTCTGCAATTTTTATGTGGTCCTTTTGCTGAATTGTGGTTACTCGTTCAGTGTCAAAAAATAAACCAAGCTCATCAGCCGCTCCGGTATCTTCCTCAAAGAGAAATTATTCAGTATTTTCTCGTGGTTGCGGACTATGCAGAGGAGGGGATCCGAATTCCTGATAACTTCACTTGCATTATCCGTTACCGTTCTGTCGTTTAGATACTCCAACCTTAAAAGCATGCGACCTCCTTGCTGTCACAGAAAATATAATCATGAAACGGATGATTTGGAATTCAAACTTTTATAGATAAGCATCATACTTTTAGGTCTTCACGTCGAGTTGACACAGTTTCTCCAGAGGAATAGAGTATGATCAAAACCGCAAACATATTTGTAGCAGCAGTTTTGTACACACCAATAGTTCCATCTACTGTGCTGATATTTGCTACGGAGAGAGTTCTGTAAAGAGGTTATCTCGTGTGAGTGGTGTTGTTCCACCACGAGGTGATTATACGCTTCTCACAAATACAGATGGTGAAAGGTCTACGAGCTATACATCCTCTCCATAATCTCCAAATTGTCCTATTTTGAAATGGACCGTTGCAAATCATTGCACATCTGTCTATCGAATTCCATATTTCAGGGAGTAATTCTTAGGAATCGACAAATCTCTTATTTTGAAGATGATGGGTAGTTTTTTTCTCTAAAAATTGTTCAGCCAATGAGGAACCAACAAAGTTCTTGGAATCCACAAAGGTTTCGGAACGCCCATCGGAGCTTTCGGATTGTGCGGCGGTTTATCCGCAACGTGCGTGGGCTCTTGGAATAAGCGAGAAGGTATTTTGTTCAACTTTAGATTTGCTCCACTAGTGTTTTTTTTGCAGACAGTAACATTCGTATCCTTCCAAGGTATTGCTTTTTGGTAGTCAGCAGCTCACCTTTAATCAATGTGTGATTGTAACGCTACAGCTTGGTGGTTATTCGGCATATATCTTGAAAGGTATATTGGCAGCCAATTCATCAAGCGTGTTGTCTCCCCGATTTGATCTTAGCCTGCATCTTGTGTACACGGCGTTCCATCTCTTGAACGGTAAGGCCAAGTTTCCGCCCTTTCTATACGAAAAACGAGTGAACGTCGGTATACACGGCGGTGTTGATTTTCTAGGTGTCAGCATCTTCTTTAGGAACATTATTGTGGAGCGTTTTTGTTCTGTTTGAACAGGCTGGAGAGGAGACTCATAGTCCATACGCGAATATAGGATACATAATTTTGGTCGAAAAAGGCAGCATGCTCTGGATTTGTCCCACGCCAGATATCATGCATTCTTTCTATATACCCTCTACACACAGGCAAATAATCGGATCGGGCATAATTACCTTGTCGTTGATCCCTATTCCGAAGGGGTTGGTTGTGTTGTAATAACCCAAGTATGAGATCTATCAGGGAGTTAGATACTTGTGATGCACTGTTTGGAACCTTTGGTGTAGTACAGAATATTACTGGAGATTTTTCCCAACTCCGAATCGTTATTTTATCACCTCGACATGTATTTCAAACACCAAGTGATCATCTCCAAGAGGATGATCAAAAAAGATCCACTAACAGTTTTTTATTAAAAACCCTTGATAAATTCCATGAAGAATTCATGCATTTTTGAAGGATCATGTATTATGAGGAAACGAATATCTTCATGTAGTTCTTGATTATTAACAACATCTGTATTTTCTAGGTGATGCTAGAGTAAATCAAAATCCCCAGCTTACTCTTCTACAAATCGTTCTACTTAGAGAGCATAACCGGATAGCCGATACACTGGCAAAGCTGAATCCTCACTGGAATGATGAAACCACTTTCCAAGAAGCCAGGAAGATAAATATAGCTCAGCATCAATTCATTTCTTACTATGAATGGCTACCAATTTTTATTGGTTCACAAAACTCGTTGAAGAATAAGATTATTTATCAAACTAGTGATTTTGTCAACGATTACGATGAAACAGTGGATCCAACAATAATAAATGAGCACGCTACTGCTGCATTCAGATTTTTCCATTCTTTGATTGCTGGAAGTTTAGAGTGGGTATTTTGTTATCAACATCATTCACTAACCATCTTTCATATTTTTTCAATGGAGATACTAATAAGTACTTTTTTAATTTCGTGGCATTGAACTTGCTTTGTGGCGAGTATTCAAAAATGTGGTGTGAAATCAATCCAATGAAAATACTTCTCCCACATTCTAATATTTCCTATGTGTTTTCAAGCTTGGTACAGATATGCAACAGAACATCATTGCGTATCATTAGTGCGAAACATCATGTTGTCCCGAAACAGTTTCATCGTTTTACTCTGGCAATATGGACATTGCTGCTGCAGCCTACATAGTTATGCACTCTGTATATACCACCATCAAAACGGTGGCAATTACTTGCAAGTGGAAATTTTCATAGTGGTCGAAATTTACTACTAGATCTAAAATTTTTAAGAGTTAGTGAAATATACAAAAATTTCACTTGGATGTCGTCGTTTCATTTTCAAGTTTCAAAATACGTTCAAGTGGCTCATAAATGGCATTTTGTTCACTCTGGCATAATATTTGGGGTCCTTCCGCCCACTACCTAACGAAACATATAACTGCTTGAAATAGGTACATCAATTTCGTTTGCCGGTCCAGACTTGTAAACGATTTCTATAACATATGAAATAGGTATGAACAAGCACACTTTTCTTTGGTGCAACGTTGAAAAACCGATAATTAATGAAATGCTGTTAAACTCCCACACTGTTGCGAATGGGAGTCCAGACTTGTTACCCAATGGAGTTACGTAACAAGGTTCTGTTACATGTATGTACACAGCTTGAGGAAATTAACTACACTAATTTATTAGTTTCTGAGTTTGCTTATTCATATTTGATGAGATAACTCTACAATGTCTCTTTCAGTCATGCACGAATTAATTCTGGAACCTTTGTCATTATTTATATCTGTCGTGCCACATTTTTCATTTTCTATGCTCTCAAATTAATTCAAAAGTTAAGTGTTATGAATGACTTTCAGCAATTTCATGATATTTTCTTTCATTTCGAAGTATTAGACTTTGATACATTGTCAAAAAGATATGCACTGAAATTCAATAACAAATGTACGAGTTTATAAATTGAATTGAAATTGAAAATAACGAGACATTATCATTTTCAGATAATTCAGTTATGAAAAATGTTAATGGTTTGGTATTCATTTTTATTTTAGATGATATCAGTGAATTGATATTTTCTTGATAACTCTCGCCAATCGTCAAAACAAAAATAACGGTATCCCACTTTATTAAACATATCATTCTAACGGTCCCTCGAAGCGAAAAAACATACGCTTCAAACATTTTGCGAAACTAACCTCATTGGAGTTTAACTTTCGTTCAAATTTGAAATCACTGAATTGAGAAAATGATGATTTCGAATTTTATTTGGAAAAAAAATGCTTCAAAAGTTAAGTTTTTTTTCGATTTACCTGTAACTTTACTTTATATATTAGATTATATTAATATGGGGCTTCTGTGCTGAACAGCCACTACACTGCGACCTTTGCAGATCTATTGTGTGTCCACTTTATATATATGATATCTTTGATTTTTCAATTTCAGTCTTGTGTCAGAAGAGAGAAGTAGTTTTGGTAGTTTGCGTCTCAGCGATTGGTTCAATCGTCCCCAAATTTTGGAGGAAGGGGATAACTTTGATGAACTAACTAGAGGCTTGAACACTCAACCCCAACTGGCATCAGATCGTTACCATGACAGTGAAGTAAGATTGATTTTTCTCATTATATAAGATGAACACAGTTTTACATAGTTGATAATATCGAGTCTCTACGCATTTGTCAAGAAAAAACATTCCAAAATCCAATATTTTTGTTTCACGGATATAGTTGTTTGAATTGAGACGCAGTGAAATAATAATGATAATAATAATCCCAAAATCTTAGGGATTACGTATCCTATCTTCGGTGGCAGGGCTATATAGCTCCTTCCCAGCCTGCTAACAAAGTGGTAGAAGTGACAGTTCTACCACCCGTTGGCACGGCTGGAGAGGAGACTCGCATCATGCCACCAATTGAGTCAATCAGAACACGCAGGGCTCTCCACAGAATTAGGCCCCTGAAGCCACAAGAACTGGCTTGTTTGGCTGCAGAGGTTCATAGTGTACTAACAGAAGAGGCTGACATCTGGCAAATCAACACCGCCGTGTATAGCGTCGTCCAATCGCTTTCCGAATCGGAAGGACGAAATCCCGGCCTTGCGGTTCGGAATATTGAACGGCGTGTACACAAGATGGAGGCTAAGATCACGTCGGCGAGACAACACGCGTCTCTTATCCACTGTGTGATGGATTATAGGGCGGCCAACAGGCCCTTCACGCCCGCAGTGCGGCGAATAGCCGCCAATTACGACGTATCCATCACACTTTAAGTCAAGGCGTGCTGCTGACCACCAAACAGCACTGCCTTGGTATAATACGAATGCTAGTGGCTGCTAAGAAGTCAGTAGTGAGGCGAGCGAGAAGTATCGCGGAAAATCTTAGGTTCCGTGAGAAACCTTCTCGCTTATTCCAAGAGCCTCCACGTGTTGTGGATAATCCGCCGACCGCTGATCAGGTGGAATCCTTCTGGAAGGATATCTATGAACACCCGCAGCCACTCAACTTAGACACTCCAGCCCTAGCACTGTTCGAAGCTTTCAACAGAGAGCTTCGACAGCCTGAGCTCAATGAACTGAGCAACCCGATAACCTCGGATGACGTTCAAAGAGCCCTTGTGGGTTCCAAGAACTTTGCTGCTCCAGGCCCAGATGGGCTGAACACTTATTGGTGGAAAAAACTACCAAGCACTCACCGCCATCTGGCCAGTTTTTTCAACTTATGGCTAGACGGAGAGCAGCCGATTCCGGATTGGTTTGTCCGTTCTTATCCCCAAAAGCAGAGATTTGTCGATTCCTAAGAATTACAGACCGATAACATGCTTGAATTTGTTGCTGGACTGACAAGTTGTTTACAAGCATCTTATACACACGAATACTCACCGCAGTTGACCGAGTGTTCGAACGGATATATGAGCAGAGAGAGTCGAAGAGAGGAGTCGCTGGATGTAAAGAGAAGCTGCTCATCGATAGATGTGTAACGCAGGACTCGATACAATATAAGTGTAACCTCTTTATGGCCTGGATCGATTACCGTAAGGCATTTGATACAATTTCGCATGCGCTCATCTTGCATTTGCTCAGATGCCTTGCGGTACCCGACAAAATAGTGGGATGCATTGAACAACTAATACCACTTTGGCGAACTCGCTTCACCATAACATCTGGTCAAGCAAGAGTCCAAACAGGGTGGGTCACTTTCAGAAGGGGTGTATTTCAGGGTGATTCCCTCAGTCCCCTTCTCTTCTGCATCTCACTATTACCATTATCCGTTGCGCTCAGAAATACTCGAGAGTATAACTGTGGCACCCCCGGAAACCGGAGGCACAAGGTCACCCACTTGTTTTATATGGATGATGTTAAACTTCATGCCTCTGGAGAGAAGGATCTCCATCAGTCTTCGAAGGTGGTGGAAGAATGCAAGCTATCGGTATGAAATTCGGGATAGACAAACGTGCAATGGTCCATCTCAAAAGAGGACGATGCGGGGACTACGGAGAGGATGTGCAGCTCGTAGATGAAAGCATCTTACACCATCTGGATGGGAACAAAGAAAAAAGAAGAGAAAAAAAGAGGAAGGAGAGAGAGGGAAGAGGGAGAGAAAACATGTTGAATGTTATTACTGAAAATTTTTTAGAAGTATGAAATCTATGAAATCAATGACTTTCTGATTGAGCAGCGATGATATATTTTTTGTAACAGCTCTTAAATAAAAAACTTTACTAACTTTNGTGTAATAGTGTTTATGTGGGACAATGCGGACGAAATTTCCAAAAACGGTATGCTGAACACGAAATGCCCTTCAGACTGGGAAAAAATGTTTCGATGTTTTCAAACCATTCCTTGGCATGCAACCACAAGTTTCCGAATCTAAACGATACGGAAATTTTGCACTATGCAAGGAAGGGTTGCAAACTCAATTATTTAGAATCCTTGGAAATTCACAAGCATGAACATTGCAAGTGCAACCTGTGAAACTATCAAATCGATTTAGTTTATTCGCCGGTTTTCAAATTAGCACATCCGCATTATAAACTGTAAATTCAGGTACTCAATCAAGTCAAGTAACTCTATTTTTGCCTACAGGGGTGGTATATGAGAGCTAATGTTAGTTTAATGTATAAGTTTGAAAATGTCTTAACAAGACGAAACTGCAGTAAAGTTAGTTACAAATAAAAGTGGTAAAAAACAGAAAGTTTCAATTCTCTTTTCTTCGATATTACACTTGATCATAACTCTGATACCTACAAGGAGACAAATGATTCATTTGAAGTTTGGGGATTTTTAACAATGTACCTCGTTGCCATATCTTTTCCTCGGTCAAAATTAACGTAGACGTTCGTCAGAACGAGTAGTTGCGGGATGTGCTGAAAAATTGACATTGAGGAAACTATGCATTCCATACCACTCGTTCGCGAACGTATACGTTCAACAAACAAATGATCTCGAGAACTAGCCTCTCTGTTAGATCCAAGATAGCTGTGAGATAACTTTGTTTACAGAAATAATATTATCAAACAATGCAGACTTTCTGATTTTGATATTAGAACACATAACTCTTGCTTAAACATATGAACCCACCTAAAGCAAAAATAATTTATCCATGCATTAGCAATCTGTTTTAAAATCTGTTTTAAAATCTGTTTTTCCGTTAATCAGCTGCCGCCCCTATACGAACGACAACTCTCAGAAGTTGAGAAACTTGTGCGAGCTAAGGACTAACGAGGTCTTACCT